TGTAGAGTCATTCATGCCCTTGTTAATTCATGGTTGGATTACTGCAGCTCAAACTACATGGGGATGCCCTTGAAGACCACTCAGAAGCTTAAAGTGGTACAACATGCAGCTGTCCAGATACTTGTGGGAGCATCTAGATTCACCTATGTAATGTCTACTTGGGGTGTTGCACTGGTTACCAGTCAATTTCTGGGTGCAGTTCACAGTGCTAGTTATCACCTTTAAAGTCTTTCATGGCTCCAGACCTGGATATCTTCAAGACCTCTTGCTCTGAAATGAATCTACCCATCCAGTGACACCAGGGAGAGAAGAAATGTTAATGGATCTGTCACCGAGGGAGTTTCATCTTCAGGATCCCATAATTGGGCCTTTTCAGTGATGGCCCTCCTGTGGAACAACTCACCCTCATCCATCCAGGCTGCTTCCTCTGTGTTGGATCTTCACAGGGCTGTAAAAATCTGGTTATTTCATAAAGCCTTGGGGGATGCTAGTTTGGGCTTGACCTTGGAGGATGGCATCTTTATGTATTGTTTTTGGTTTCTTTTCTTTTTTAATTTTAGTGTGTTGTCTTTTTCCTTCTATGTTGCTCTGAGACAGGAATGGAGCAGCACAGAACATTTAGTAATAGATAATGACACTAAATAAGGACCAGGATCCAAACCAGCCATCTCAAAAGGGACACGAAAGCCTCCTTTTCCTGGGCATCTGGAGAACTTTCTCAGCCAGATGAAACAATGCAAGATTACATGGACAGCATTTTACAAAGCATCACATGGAGACTGTACCTTTCTGGATGCAGTAGAGTTATATTTTTCTTGTAAGGCCTAGGACCTGTGTTTTCCATAACACAGTACTAATGGAATCTACTGTTTCCCCCACAAAAAGATTCACTTGATAAAGTAGCTTTTCTTGACAGCCTGGAGATCTGCGGCCTATTATTTTCATAATATACCACAGTTTTTAATAACGTTTCTGGCACTGACAGGAAAAAAATACTATTGAAATACGATGTATGGAAAAGTGGCCCATTGTTTTTGCCTATTTTTTTTTCTTGTGGTGTCTGGGGTGTGTGTGTGTGTCAGAACATCTGTATGAGGCTGATCAGAGCATGTTGATTGTTTCTGTTTCTATTTAGGAAAGTACAATAGAGGAGAGCGGTAGGAGGAAAAAATTAGGGCAGAGGTTTTCAAACATTCAGCTCCCTAAAATGGCAAGTGACTTTGTGTGACCTTCTGCATGAGATCATAATGATCCCATTGGTGTTAGGGTCAGGCAAAAAAAAAAAAAAAGCCACTTTTAGTAACTAAATTTGAATCTGCATATCCCAGGAGTTCTCAAACTTTGTGGTACTGAGCCCCATCCTAGTTTGCAAACCCCTGGGACAGGAAGCATACACTTAGTCCTCACTTAACAATGGCAATTGGGGTCAGAAATTCCATTGCTAAGCGACATGGTCGTAAAGTGCGGTGTCACATAACCACTTAGCCGTGGAAATTTGGCACTTTTGGTTGCCATCGTTAAGTGAACCACTGTAGGTCATTTGCAACTTCCTGCTGGCTTCCTCATTGACTTTGCTTGTAGGAAGCCAGCAAAGAAGGTCGCAAATGGGGATCATGTGACCGTCATAAATATGAGGACTGGTTGTAACTACCACTCGTTCAGTGCTGTGATAAGTTCGAACGATTGCTGAACAAGTGGTCGTTAAACAATGACCACCTGTACTTCAGGGAAAAAACACTCTCTAAACCAGACCAGGCCTTCCATTGCTTCATGATCATTCCCTGAACCCTTATTCTGGTTTATGTCAAGATAGAAGAGAAGTTGGAAGTTTCGGCAGCACATTTTTACACTGGCACGTGCATACTTTCCTTCTAGCTCCCACCCAGATGAATATCATTTTAATGCTGCCATGTGGGCAGGGTTATCTGTGGGGAGTGGGGGGGTCAAAAAGTCAAGATGGTAATTAATGATTGAAGCCATGGCTCTTCCTGAGGTGCACTGCATGCCTGATGCATGTAAAAAAGGGACAGGTTTCAAGCATGGCTGCATTCTTGAGTTTTTGACATCACCCTTCCCCTCTCCCACAGATACAATTGCACATGTAAGAGTTCTTGAAGTGTTTGCTTTGAGGGTCTAGAATTGTGCTTCAGTTAGAGATGTAGATATTTGTTCAGTTTGCATATGAATCAATCAAATAAATAAATATGAAACTTACTAGCTTTCACATTTTTGAACCAGTATATGAACTAAATGCCATATGAAAATTGCAATTTGTCAATTTTTTCAGTGCAAAATAGGAAAATCTATATGGAAGTGTGTGTGTGTGTGTGTGTGTGTGTGTGTGTTCAGGAAAATAATGTATACGTGTGGGTTATATTAGGGAAAATAATTTTAAAAACTGCCTATTAGAGCCAAACTGTGGACTTTGTATATTTGGAAACTGGTGCACCAAAATACATCCACATTTTAATGAGGACTTTTTATAAATATCCTCAAGTTATACATATCAAACTTGACAGATCTGCTGATGCAGGGTTTCTGTTAGCTTTTCCTGCCTTAATGTTTCTTGGAGGCTTGGAATGTGAGCCTTGGTCAATAACTGACCGTGCCAGTGTTACGAAAAAAAAATCTGCAGGGAGGGCCGATCTTTTCTTTTTCAAATCTCCGCGCCATGTATCACCTGAAACAAAGAACGGTGTCCTCAAATGGAGCCTTTTGAGGTTTACATCTGAGGTGGTCCCGTATAATCGTGCCAACCAGCTAGAGTGGCCTATCGTTTGACCAAGTTGTGGAGTGATAACTTTCAGTCATTCTCTGCATAAACCCTTTTCTGAGAGCTAGCAAAAGCAGGCGGGCTGACTGATAGCAAGAAAGGAGGATTCTGGAATGCAAGCAGCTTAACTGCCACCTAATGGCAAAACTGAAGAAACCACAAGCACAGAAGCATCTTCTGGGTGCCTGGCATTCTGATCGTAAAGTGACCGCCACCGAGTGGCTGTAGATTTGTTTCTTCAGGCTATAACACTCATCGCTCTCAGTCAGCAGGACAGCTCAAAAGAGAAAGTGGAACTTGCCACGTAAAACAGGATCTTGTAAACAAGCTTACTGAAGACTTTTATAAACAGCAACAAGAAAATAGATTACTAGTGGGAAAAAGGCATGATTGTGGGAGAAGGCTAATCGCCAGAGTGTCTGTGTTGATAATGGAGGAGTGGAAACCCTTTTGCCAGCAACTGTCATAAAAATGCAGTCCACTTTTATTAGGGTAGCAATTTGTCTTCCCTGTTCCAAAAGGGATGCGAGGAAGACCAACAAAGGGAGCCACAGGGCCTTCCCTGCTGATGGGAGGAAAGAGGCAATGCACCAGGAGGGATAGGAGATTAGGGCCTTGTTTGCAGCTCTGCCAGCCCCCTGCCCTGAATGAGGGGCTCCCTCAGTGCCTCACTTTAAGATCTCGGGAACCTCGTAACCTGTTTTTGCTCCTCCCGAGATTCCTGGGCTTGATACATTTTAAATGTTCAAGAAAGAGAAGTGCCATGTCCTCCGTGCGCTCTGGTGGATTTTGCAAAGCACAGACAGAAGGGAATTTTCATGCTAGCTGAGAATTCTGGGGCTTGAGTCCCAAACAAACGGGGGGTACCAGACAGAAAGTTCTTGAGAGAGATGACCATTCTTTTTTGGCACTTGATGGGCAAGAATGACAACAAAATCACCAGCTCTGCCTTTTGCTACGAATTATCTCTAAGACCCTGTGTTTTGCCCTTATAATTAATTGGTTGCTTTTTGCTAGGCCTTTACGCAGCTCTGGTGGCCAATCCTGGCTTTTATCTGTAGTACCTGCCACGGACATGTGTGCAGGGCTTGCACAGGCCAGGTAATCTCATAGGGGGCCCTTGGAGAGTCTTACTTATTGGCCCCCCATTCCTTTTGGGATGAATTGGTGGAGAGCTGTTCTAAACTGAAATTGGGTCCATCAAGTGCAAAGTCTTCCCACCATCAGAAAAGAGAAAAGCCTGCTTAGATAAATCGTGGAAAACACTGTAACCACCTAGAGTTGCTGGGAATCATGTGGTATATAAATTTTAATAATACTATAATAATAATGTGGTGTAAGACTACAAGACAGGGATTTTAGGAGGGCCATCCAGTTGGGTTTCTTAGCTGGGGCATGCATGGATATGTCTAAGCTTGGAGTTTTCAAGACATCATGGTGGGGCACCTTCATTTTGAGAAGTTAACTGCTCATGAATTTGGGCTCTGAGGCCATAAGTTT